ACTCCTTCTACCGCTTTGTATTAATTAGCCTCCATCTTAGAAGTTTTTAGTCGCTCTTTTTGCCCTAAGCAGTTGGTACGTTTTGTTACCCCAGCGAAGGAAGGTTGCTACAGGAAGTTATACATCTTTGACGTGCATCACGTGATGTGTTCTTGAGTTTTAGTTCTTGTGTCAGGGTGAAAACTGCATTTCATTTAGAGAGGGGAGGGGTGTAACATTAGTTTTTGTTTGTGACTACATGGAATACATTCAAGGGATTGCGGTCGTTTCGCCCGGACTGTTAGCTTACTGGTCAATGAAAAAATATGCCGCACTAGTCAAGAAGCTAAGTCGGTACATGTACTCTTTACGGACACTTTTGTTTACTGGCTCTCTTCATAACTGTTCAGTTGCTCGGCAGCGCAATCGTCATAAAACGTCATGAAAATACAAATACACTCGTTCGTTGTCGACTTCGTAGTGTGACTGCGATTAGAGTCGACTTCCCAGCGGGACTACAAAAAGTGACAATGTAGGCTCAGAAGGATATAACGATCTGTCTTGTTAGCAGGAACCATCAGCTCGGGAGTTTGTGGGTAAATTAATAAGGCCTTCGGCTGCTGGTAGCTTTCACGGCAACCTTAGTCTACAATAAACGTTATCCGGATCGCCAGCTGCCCATATCCACTTCGCAGTCGAGGCTATACCAACTCTATTGTGCCAGGGCCAATCACCGTGATTTGCAACCTAAACTGCCGCTGGCCAGTTGCTATCATCAAACTCCGGCGATTTCCATCCAGAATACTTAAAAGTGTGACATTTCCAGCTTGCATTGGTTACCATTCCATTGCTTAAAGAGCCAAGTATTCCAAACTGACTGCCCTTGTCTACTCCCGACACAGAAATAACCCGGGTATTTCCTGGTATGACATACTCCGTTGATGATGTCCAATCGTCGTCCTTCCCAAGACTCACACCATCAGCAAACATTTCCATCTCATTATCACAAGTAAACACTGCAGTAATATCTGTAATGCAAAAAGATGAATTTAATTTATGGCTTTTTTATTGTTTTTTTTTTCCACACAAAGCGTACTGACCGACACACAACTGTCGGCGCTTTGCGCAAGTTTCTGTAACATAAGGCAATTAGATTAAGTTCTCTACCTCCTGGAATGAATCCCGGTCCACAATGATTCACAAGTGGTCCACAAGTTACAATGTAGGCTCAGAAGGATATAACGACCTCTCTTGTAAACGGAAATAATCAGCTTTCGGCTACTGGTAACTTTCATGGCAACCTTAGTCTACAATAAACGTTATCCGGATCGCCGGTTATCCGGTTTCTTAAGTATATATGTTTTTTTCAAGGGCAACATCAAACATTAAGACCATATTTACAATAGTTTTGTAATATTCTAACCTTCTCCCCGTTTCCTTTCCCTGAAATAAATATTCTAACCGTTGATCACTCACTTTGCACAGGTATTTCTCGAGATTCCTCACTCTTTTTCATATCCTGCTGGTCAAATAAGAACTAGCTCAATAACAGGTGAAAATTTCGCTTATCGGTAAGTTATTTACATGTACCGGGTGTCAGGTGAAGAGGCAGCAGTTTGCCGGGTGCCAGTTAGTAAGGATGTGAATCAAATTGGCTTGTTAAAATGTTGAGTTACCATTAGTAACCGCCTACCAGCAAAATTGACAAAAATACTAAGTGATAATAAACACTCAAGATTTAAAAACGACACACGATGTCAAATTTCAAATTCTGTCACGTTTAGAGCTGGGAAATACGCAACTTGCGATAAATTCTGAAAGACTTTAGCAAACAATGTGTGGAAGAACCAAGAGAATAAAGAAAACAAAAAAGCAGATTATAATAGAATAGTTGAAAATATTACAGTTGTTGGAAGAGAGAAGAAGAACGGATAAATGAACGTAACAGTGGTATATCTGATATAACTATGGCAAAAGTTATTACCATTACCATCGCTCCAAAAACAATGAGTCAAGAGATAGCCGTCCGAACGACAAGACAAACTCTTCCAAATCTCAAATTCAAATAAACCTTAAAAACAAGACAGCTCGGATGCAAGGCACTTGGAGAACAGCTTTAGATTGGCGTAAGAGATGACCATACCTACCTCAAGGAAATATCGCCTCTGTTTAAAGCTTTAATAATTAAAAAAAACATTAATTTGATTTGAACAGGAAAAAAGTATGCCGCACTAATCAATAATCTAAGTCGGCACATGTACGCTTTACGGACCCGTTTGTTCATTCACTTTCTCGATCCAAAACTGATCAGTCGTTCGGCAGCGCCATGGTGATAAAATGTCATAAAGATACAGATACACTTGCTCATTGGCAACTTCGAAGTGTGATTATGAATTGAAGCGACTTCTCAGCGAAAATTATAATGCGGGATTTTTTAATTAGAAGTGAAATTTCCAGATGATTCCCTATCAGATATGTATAAAGCGTGTTTATCTGCATGTGAATTCTGAATAAATATTTTACAAAATGAAACAAAAATTTTGAACACGTACTGTTTTTCTCGGCATCATTATGGCAGAAATCTCCTAACAAATAATTATTAGGCAATAACATTAATTTCTCTCTTTTATGTCTTTTGAGGTGCTAAATTGAAAAACCAGAAAATGACTGATTTCATTTTACATGGCCAATGTGAGAAGAGACAAAATTGAACAAATAATGAACCAGCTAGTAAACACTCGTGTAAGGAAAAACCTTGTCGCCACCTTTCCTTCTAGGTAAATAAAACCAAAAATAAAAATTATATCTACTGAGCCACCAGAACATATTTTTCATTTTATTTTGCGAAAGAGAAACAGAAAGGCTAGGAAAATACGACTGAACGAAGTAAAAATTAATTTACGTTAGGTCAATAAATCGTGATAATTGTGTGAAGGGTTGTATATTCACCTGTAATGCACCTATTTCGTGGTAAATCCATCCAGTGTTCCTAGTAAGTCTATTATCGGCATTGTTGCACGGGTCTTTTAAGCCAGAGTTGTTTAACTCGCATATTTCACCAGAAGAAAAAAAGTTGTAGGAGAAGCACATATCTTCTTTGTCGCACTCTTGAGCACATGAAAGCCAGTCAATACCGACATAGGTCTTAAACACATGACCATTAAGTAAGCTGTTGTGCATAGTAAGACCCGCGCTCGAACCAGGAATGCAGTAACACACGAAAAATATTCCAGTCAACCAAGAACGCTGGCGAAGCATAGTCGCACTGACTTTTAAAGTGTAAATTTGAGGATGAATGTCAGAGAGTTAAGGAAACTATCCGTTAACGGGCCCACCACTTAATCCTCAAGCTAATAGATTTCTTGAACGCGCTATCTTTAATTTTCTTGCAGCTAACGAATTCATCAGACATGCCTTAGAATTCTGCTTGCCGTTGATTGGTGGAGAGGATGTCATTGAGCTCGTCTGTCTTAAAAAGTGATAGCAACTGTAATTATGCAAACATCGAGCTTCCAAAAAAATAATGAAGGTGACTTTAATATAAATGGTAATATCGTCTACTGATGTCCCTTTTGTTGACAATGCCATGCACCATTCTGCAACTGATTCATCGAAAATTACTGTGTCTGCTGTGTTTTTTAATTCCAGATGACTGTTCAGCGGAGTCACAACAACTGAACAAACAGACAACTGTCTTGACACAAACCCGTTTTTTACCTATTTCATCCCTTACATTTTTTTTCGGGCTAAACTCGCAGTGTAAGCTCGTACCAAGACATTGTGAACCTGGCCGTGCCATTTGAAACACCGAATTATAAATTTATGGAATAGTGCAATTTTTCTCGACGCCTATGTAATTTATGCCAATAGATACAGACGGCTGCAGGGAATAAAGAAGATTATGTCTTTTCTATTCATATACAAGGCATTAAGGCTCCACCAAAAATTGGGGTTTTTCTCCTGGCGGAAATATCACACGCTTAAATTGAAAGTTGTCTCGGTTTGGTCGAAATTTCAATTTTTTCGAATGTTTACTTTGTCTATCGGCAACGGGTTGACAAAATGAGTAATTTTTATATATGCGAGGCACCTGTTTTATTTTGGTTTTTTGCTTTGATTTTTCGCTTTTTTTGTTTTGTTTTGTTTTGTTTTTTGTTTGTTTTTTGGTTTTCGATCTTTTGTGGATTGCGATCTTTTTATACAAGCGATATAATTTACTGAGTTCTGTACCCTGAGAAGCATTTCACCATGGCCTCAAAGAATCTGTGAGTCGGTTCAGTAGTTTTCTCGAGGCATTTATAGAAGTTGGCGGCGAGGGAAACAACTCACTCTATTTAGCGTTTTATTATGCCCCTAAACTTTAATTTTACTGAACGCAATACTGTGAGCTCTTGAATTTTGCATCGAGATAATGGAAGACCCTACAGGGCCATTACATGGCCGGTCACCTCCTATTCGCAAACGGCAAAGTCGTGAGGGATGCTAAAACTTCCTTCCGCCGGTTGTTTGGACAGAGCGTGTTAAAACTTTTTTTTCTAAATCGATGAAATTTTAGCTTTATTTGATAATCCTCTCCATTTTAATCCATTTCTCTTTCCTACTTAGGCTTTATCGCATTGCACGCATTTATACCTTTGTATTGCGCTTTTTTATGATAAATTCTAACGGATGTTTTGAATTCTATTTTTAACAAAGACCATTTATCATTTTATCCATCTTCGAGTTTAAATCGTGTACCTTTTGTGTGCACAGATAACTTTTAATTCCCGCATGTCATGAAGTTAGGTTTTGCACATCCTCCGCCTCTTTGCATTAAGTTTCCACCTTATTAGTCGTTGTTTTTGCTCTAAGCAGCTTGTGCATTTTCTTGCCCTAGGGAGGGAGGGCTGCCCCAAAAATTTTACAGTTTTGACTTCCGTCACATGATACGCTCTTGTGTTTAAAAGCTGTCTGATCTTGAAAAGTGCATTTCATTTGGGGGTGGGCAGGGGGGGAGGGCAGGGGTGAGGGTTTAATATCGTTCTTTGTTAGTCACTGGCATTACATTCTAGCGTGGTAGTGTAACCTGCATATTGTCATACAAAAAAATCTTGCTCGGTCGGTTTTGTCGCAAGCGGACTGGTAATTAGAGTTTCACGCGCCGTTTGTCAGAATATTCCGGCTCATTTTTTAAGGGAAGGGAATCGTTCAATATACTGTTTTTCTGGAGGTTCCACATAGATAAGATGTTTCCAAGGTGCACATAGTTGTTGGCATCGTTGACAAGGTTTTCGTTCAGTCTTTGTAAACTCTCTGTCTCGCAACGCGAAACTCGCTAGCGTTGACCAACATAAAATGACCAAGCAGCTTTATCTTTTCTGTTTTGAGCCAGTTAAACTAATTTAACTTAAAGCGTGAAGCAATTAAAGAAATGTGTTACACATTGATGTCTCGTGAGAGTTTGAAAAGTAAACAAAAACACTGCAACTTTCCAGACTGCAAACTGTAATTAAATTGATTTGAAAGCAAAGTTATTGAGGCTATTTAAACAAACACGAAACAAGCCGTCAATGGTATGCATGCCTTTGTAGAGAAGACTAAAGACTCGCTGACAAGCTTTAAAGTTAGACAACATCAAGCAAAGACGATTAACAAAGAAATTAAACGACAGCATAATTAGAATTGAGCGTGGTTTAGCAAAGAAAGTTGCGCGCAGTCTCAAAAAAGAGAAAGGGGACTCGTAAAGCACGTTTGCTTAAATTCTGTGAGAGAATTCCAATGGCTCCTGTGTCTAACACAACGAAAGCACGAGCGACTTCTCCCGAAGGTAAAACAAGGTGTTCTTTAATGTCTCTTGGGCTACTGTGCTAAATATAATAGCAAAGAATAGTCTAACTGCTAATAAGAATAGAAAGAGAGTGGATTTTTACTGTAATTCGAAAGTTTCATGGAGAGTGTAGTGAGACAGCTGTAAACTGTTCCTGAGAAAGTTTGACCTCCAACAGTAAACAGAACTTTACTCCGAAATTCGACGTCAAGTTTAACTGACCCAACACGTCTTCGGGTCATACGTATTTCGCAGGAATTGCTCTGTGACATCGTCAAATATATCGGTTTGGAATTAAGCGAAGTCCTTTCTATCGGAATAGTTGTAACAGTTGTCTTGCTGTCCAAAAGTTTTGCAAATTTCTGACATGCCTGTCGCTTGCTTGACCGCATTAACATTAACTTTAGTTACTAAGCAGTACAGCCGACACCACGGGACATCATTTTACGTGTCAAAAATATGCTTTATTTGTATTGTTTAAGTTAGTTTGTGGACAGTTCAGGGCTTTAAAGTATGTTATGACTGTGGCCATCTTTAACTAGGAAGAAGATAGCTTTTGCCATGAAACAGTTCATTGAGCTTTCAGTGGTTCAAAATTAAAAGCTGACAAAAACATGTTTGACTTGAAGAGTGCCAAACTCTTTGTCATATGTTGTCGCTCTGGTACATTAAGTATGTTTCACCAAGTATTTCTACCAAATCTCCGTAGTATATTACTTCTACTTAAGACGCAATTATGCCATCGTTTTCACGGTCACAATAAACTCAGCATGTGCATATGAAATCAGACGAACGAGAAAAGTGGAATTTGGTTTGAGCTAAAAGTGAACCTGCGCAATTTATCCTGCCGATATGTAACACATATTCTACGAGCGCGCGTTCGATATAAGAGATGGTAGATGGCCAACAAGGCGCGTAGAGAAGAGTTCGCTATAGTTATCTTATGTCAAAAACAGGCGCGAGTGGAATAATTGTTTTATTAAAAANCATTTCCATCTCATTATCACAAGTAAACACTGCAGTAATATCTGTAATGCAAAAAGATGAATTTAATTTATGGCTTTTTTATTGTTTTTTTTTTCCACACAAAGCGTACTGACCGACACACAACTGTCGGCGCTTTGCGCAAGTTTCTGTAACATAAGGCAATTAGATTAAGTTCTCTACCTCCTGGAATGAATCCCGGTCCACAATGATTCACAAGTGGTCCACAAGTTACAATGTAGGCTCAGAAGGATATAACGACCTCTCTTGTAAACGGAAATAATCAGCTTTCGGCTACTGGTAACTTTCATGGCAACCTTAGTCTACAATAAACGTTATCCGGATCGCCGGTTATCCGGTTTCTTAAGTATATATGTTTTTTTCAAGGGCAACATCAAACATTAAGACCATATTTACAATAGTTTTGTAATATTCTAACCTTCTCCCCGTTTCCTTTCCCTGAAATAAATATTCTAACCGTTGATCACTCACTTTGCACAGGTATTTCTCGAGATTCCTCACTCTTTTTCATATCCTGCTGGTCAAATAAGAACTAGCTCAATAACAGGTGAAAATTTCGCTTATCGGTAAGTTATTTACATGTACCGGGTGTCAGGTGAAGAGGCAGCAGTTTGCCGGGTGCCAGTTAGTAAGGATGTGAATCAAATTGGCTTGTTAAAATGTTGAGTTACCATTAGTAACCGCCTACCAGCAAAATTGACAAAAATACTAAGTGATAATAAACACTCAAGATTTAAAAACGACACACGATGTCAAATTTCAAATTCTGTCACGTTTAGAGCTGGGAAATACGCAACTTGCGATAAATTCTGAAAGACTTTAGCAAACAATGTGTGGAAGAACCAAGAGAATAAAGAAAACAAAAAAGCAGATTATAATAGAATAGTTGAAAATATTACAGTTGTTGGAAGAGAGAAGAAGAACGGATAAATGAACGTAACAGTGGTATATCTGATATAACTATGGCAAAAGTTATTACCATTACCATCGCTCCAAAAACAATGAGTCAAGAGATAGCCGTCCGAACGACAAGACAAACTCTTCCAAATCTCAAATTCAAATAAACCTTAAAAACAAGACAGCTCGGATGCAAGGCACTTGGAGAACAGCTTTAGATTGGCGTAAGAGATGACCATACCTACCTCAAGGAAATATCGCCTCTGTTTAAAGCTTTAATAATTAAAAAAAACATTAATTTGATTTGAACAGGAAAAAAGTATGCCGCACTAATCAATAATCTAAGTCGGCACATGTACGCTTTACGGACCCGTTTGTTCATTCACTTTCTCGATCCAAAACTGATCAGTCGTTCGGCAGCGCCATGGTGATAAAATGTCATAAAGATACAGATACACTTGCTCATTGGCAACTTCGAAGTGTGATTATGAATTGAAGCGACTTCTCAGCGAAAATTATAATGCGGGATTTTTTAATTAGAAGTGAAATTTCCAGATGATTCCCTATCAGATATGTATAAAGCGTGTTTATCTGCATGTGAATTCTGAATAAATATTTTACAAAATGAAACAAAAATTTTGAACACGTACTGTTTTTCTCGGCATCATTATGGCAGAAATCTCCTAACAAATAATTATTAGGCAATAACATTAATTTCTCTCTTTTATGTCTTTTGAGGTGCTAAATTGAAAAACCAGAAAATGACTGATTTCATTTTACATGGCCAATGTGAGAAGAGACAAAATTGAACAAATAATGAACCAGCTAGTAAACACTCGTGTAAGGAAAAACCTTGTCGCCACCTTTCCTTCTAGGTAAATAAAACCAAAAATAAAAATTATATCTACTGAGCCACCAGAACATATTTTTCATTTTATTTTGCGAAAGAGAAACAGAAAGGCTAGGAAAATACGACTGAACGAAGTAAAAATTAATTTACGTTAGGTCAATAAATCGTGATAATTGTGTGAAGGGTTGTATATTCACCTGTAATGCACCTATTTCGTGGTAAATCCATCCAGTGTTCCTAGTAAGTCTATTATCGGCATTGTTGCACGGGTCTTTTAAGCCAGAGTTGTTTAACTCGCATATTTCACCAGAAGAAAAAAAGTTGTAGGAGAAGCACATATCTTCTTTGTCGCACTCTTGAGCACATGAAAGCCAGTCAATACCGACATAGGTCTTAAACACATGACCATTAAGTAAGCTGTTGTGCATAGTAAGACCCGCGCTCGAACCAGGAATGCAGTAACACACGAAAAATATTCCAGTCAACCAAGAACGCTGGCGAAGCATAGTCGCACTGACTTTTAAAGTGTAAATTTGAGGATGAATGTCAGAGAGTTAAGGAAACTATCCGTTAACGGGCCCACCACTTAATCCTCAAGCTAATAGATTTCTTGAACGCGCTATCTTTAATTTTCTTGCAGCTAACGAATTCATCAGACATGCCTTAGAATTCTGCTTGCCGTTGATTGGTGGAGAGGATGTCATTGAGCTCGTCTGTCTTAAAAAGTGATAGCAACTGTAATTATGCAAACATCGAGCTTCCAAAAAAATAATGAAGGTGACTTTAATATAAATGGTAATATCGTCTACTGATGTCCCTTTTGTTGACAATGCCATGCACCATTCTGCAACTGATTCATCGAAAATTACTGTGTCTGCTGTGTTTTTTAATTCCAGATGACTGTTCAGCGGAGTCACAACAACTGAACAAACAGACAACTGTCTTGACACAAACCCGTTTTTTACCTATTTCATCCCTTACATTTTTTTTCGGGCTAAACTCGCAGTGTAAGCTCGTACCAAGACATTGTGAACCTGGCCGTGCCATTTGAAACACCGAATTATAAATTTATGGAATAGTGCAATTTTTCTCGACGCCTATGTAATTTATGCCAATAGATACAGACGGCTGCAGGGAATAAAGAAGATTATGTCTTTTCTATTCATATACAAGGCATTAAGGCTCCACCAAAAATTGGGGTTTTTCTCCTGGCGGAAATATCACACGCTTAAATTGAAAGTTGTCTCGGTTTGGTCGAAATTTCAATTTTTTCGAATGTTTACTTTGTCTATCGGCAACGGGTTGACAAAATGAGTAATTTTTATATATGCGAGGCACCTGTTTTATTTTGGTTTTTTGCTTTGATTTTTCGCTTTTTTTGTTTTGTTTTGTTTTGTTTTTTGTTTGTTTTTTGGTTTTCGATCTTTTGTGGATTGCGATCTTTTTATACAAGCGATATAATTTACTGAGTTCTGTACCCTGAGAAGCATTTCACCATGGCCTCAAAGAATCTGTGAGTCGGTTCAGTAGTTTTCTCGAGGCATTTATAGAAGTTGGCGGCGAGGGAAACAACTCACTCTATTTAGCGTTTTATTATGCCCCTAAACTTTAATTTTACTGAACGCAATACTGTGAGCTCTTGAATTTTGCATCGAGATAATGGAAGACCCTACAGGGCCATTACATGGCCGGTCACCTCCTATTCGCAAACGGCAAAGTCGTGAGGGATGCTAAAACTTCCTTCCGCCGGTTGTTTGGACAGAGCGTGTTAAAACTTTTTTTTCTAAATCGATGAAATTTTAGCTTTATTTGATAATCCTCTTCATTTTAATCCATTTCTCTTTCCTACTTAGGCTTTATCGCATTGCACGCATTTATACCTTTGTATTGCGCTTTTTTATGATAAATTCTAACGGATGTTTTGAATTCTATTTTTAACAAAGACCATTTATCATTTTATCCATCTTCGAGTTTAAATCGTGTACCTTTTGTGTGCACAGATAACTTTTAATTCCCGCATGTCATGAAGTTAGGTTTTGCACATCCTCCGCCTCTTTGCATTAAGTTTCCACCTTATTAGTCGTTGTTTTTGCTCTAAGCAGCTTGTGCATTTTCTTGCCCTAGGGAGGGAGGGCTGCCCCAAAAATTTTACAGTTTTGACTTCCGTCACATGATACGCTCTTGTGTTTAAAAGCTGTCTGATCTTGAAAAGTGCATTTCATTTGGGGGTGGGCAGGGGGGGAGGGCAGGGGTGAGGGTTTAATATCGTTCTTTGTTAGTCACTGGCATTACATTCTAGCGTGGTAGTGTAACCTGCATATTGTCATACAAAAAAATCTTGCTCGGTCGGTTTTGTCGCAAGCGGACTGGTAATTAGAGTTTCACGCGCCGTTTGTCAGAATATTCCGGCTCATTTTTTAAGGGAAGGGAATCGTTCAATATACTGTTTTTCTGGAGGTTCCACATAGATAAGATGTTTCCAAGGTGCACATAGTTGTTGGCATCGTTGACAAGGTTTTCGTTCAGTCTTTGTAAACTCTCTGTCTCGCAACGCGAAACTCGCTAGCGTTGACCAACATGAAATGACCAAGCAGCTTTATCTTTTCTGTTTTGAGCCAGTTAAACTAATTTAACTTAAAGCGTGAAGCAATTAAAGAAATGTGTTACACATTGATGTCTCGTGAGAGTTTGAAAAGTAAACAAAAACACTGCAACTTTCCAGACTGCAAACTGTAATTAAATTGATTTGAAAGCAAAGTTATTGAGGCTATTTAAACAAACACGAAACAAGCCGTCAATGGTATGCATGCCTTTGTAGAGAAGACTAAAGACTCGCTGACAAGCTTTAAAGTTAGACAACATCAAGCAAAGACGATTAACAAAGAAATTAAACGACAGCATAATTAGAATTGAGCGTGGTTTAGCAAAGAAAGTTGCGCGCAGTCTCAAAAAAGAGAAAGGGGACTCGTAAAGCACGTTTGCTTAAATTCTGTGAGAGAATTCCAATGGCTCCTGTGTCTAACACAACGAAAGCACGAGCGACTTCTCCCGAAGGTAAAACAAGGTGTTCTTTAATGTCTCTTGGGCTACTGTGCTAAATATAATAGCAAAGAATAGTCTAACTGCTAATAAGAATAGAAAGAGAGTGGATTTTTACTGTAATTCGAAAGTTTCATGGAGAGTGTAGTGAGACAGCTGTAAACTGTTCCTGAGAAAGTTTGACCTCCAACAGTAAACAGAACTTTACTCCGAAATTCGACGTCAAGTTTAACTGACCCAACACGTCTTCGGGTCATACGTATTTCGCAGGAATTGCTCTGTGACATCGTCAAATATATCGGTTTGGAATTAAGCGAAGTCCTTTCTATCGGAATAGTTGTAACAGTTGTCTTGCTGTCCAAAAGTTTTGCAAATTTCTGACATGCCTGTCGCTTGCTTGACCGCATTAACATTAACTTTAGTTACTAAGCAGTACAGCCGACACCACGGGACATCATTTTACGTGTCAAAAATATGCTTTATTTGTATTGTTTAAGTTAGTTTGTGGACAGTTCAGGGCTTTAAAGTATGTTATGACTGTGGCCATCTTTAACTAGGAAGAAGATAGCTTTTGCCATGAAACAGTTCATTGAGCTTTCAGTGGTTCAAAATTAAAAGCTGACAAAAACATGTTTGACTTGAAGAGTGCCAAACTCTTTGTCATATGTTGTCGCTCTGGTACATTAAGTATGTTTCACCAAGTATTTCTACCAAATCTCCGTAGTATATTACTTCTACTTAAGACGCAATTATGCCATCGTTTTCACGGTCACAATAAACTCAGCATGTGCATATGAAATCAGACGAACGAGAAAAGTGGAATTTGGTTTGAGCTAAAAGTGAACCTGCGCAATTTATCCTGCCGATATGTAACACATATTCTACGAGCGCGCGTTCGATATAAGAGATGGTAGATGGCCAACAAGGCGCGTAGAGAAGAGTTCGCTATAGTTATCTTATGTCAAAAACAGGCGCGAGTGGAATAATTGTTTCATTAAAAA